GCAAGTCTGATAAACAAAGAGAACGCAAATCTGATAATAAAAGAGTTAAAAACATTTCACAAAACTACAATGTAAGTTACATAATTGTACATTTAAGAACCAAATCATTTTCAACTCTTTGAAATGTTGTTCGCGGGAAAAAATACATTATTCGTACTAATTTTCGCGAGCACTTTTAAATATTAATTTTTTTAAATATTTGTGTTTAAAAACACAAATATTTCGCAAGATCAATTTTCGCGATTTTGAAAAAAAAGGATAAATTTAGTGCATTTAATTTCGCGAAAATTGAAAAACAGGCGGACAGAGACACTTAAATTCCTTTTTCACTGAATAATTACTTAAACAATAGTCGAAGATTTGTATATAAAGTGAAATGATTATAGAAGCGCATTAAATTTCGAGAGTATAATTTTCGGGGATCCTATTTTTCGCGAGGTTTTAATTTCGCGATGTTTTTTAAATCGCGAAAATCGCGAAATTAAAGTCTCGCGAAAATTACTACGAATAAGGTACTCATTAGAAGCTGCATACGTTGGAAAAAAGCTTTTGCTTTTATTGAAGTTTGATAAGCAATATAAAATATTCGCGTCCTACTTTTAAAGTGCCGGGTACGATGAGATCCGAGGATAGGCGTTTTTTTTTAGTTTTTGCTAGTTTATACTATTAATAATGCCATAAATAAGGTATTTTACATTTTAGACGAAGAGAACATGTTGAAATTTGCCATTATTGTCGTCGATTTTCGATCCACCATTAACCGGCAGCCATTTTGGAAGATGAAGGCCGTTAGGGGCTGGTATCGAATTTTGACATATGCTTAACACGAGTGGATTTGTCAACATGAACTACTGTGTGAATCCAATGTGAATCGAATGTTGTTTTCGAAATATTGCAATGTTTTTGGCAGAAACTGTTATCTTATGTTATGAGCTGTATTGAACATTTATCACTGACTCCATACCTATATTCTATCTGATCAGGKACGTGTCCCTGATCTGATGTTCCAGGATCAGTTTTTTGTTTCTGAATGAGACGTGGCTGTCTGACAAGTTTTGTTGTCAAAAGCACAACAAGCAAACAAGGGTGAAGGTTTGATTGCTAAATAATTATTTTTGAGATATTAAGATATTTTGAAATTGAATTTCGTTATCTTGGTCGTGCTACTGAATAGTTGGAAGAGGGAACTAATCGTCTAGAAGGATATAATCTTCAAATTTTATCGACATCAACTTGTATCGCTATCTATATTAAAACAACAAATTTTGTACGACTTCATGATAGTGAATTCAATAAAATCATGCGCGGTGATAACAATTTTGTACTCAGTTTAATCAACAGTTTAAATTCTAAGTCGAGTAGCATGACTGGAGTCTTAACTTATGAAGACTCCAAAGAAAAATAGAAACTTACTTTTATGAAAAACTTTAGGATGTCTACAAATCTGGGAATTGAACTGGCAGTGTGCTCCCCATCTCCACATGTCTTCAAAGAGCAGATGTTTGTTATAGGCCGAAATATATCACTATAATTTTTTCAACGACTGCATTTGAACTCGGAAGGTCTCAGAGACAGAACAAAACGTTTGACTCGATGCTCAGGACTTTGTTTCTTCATTATTTTATACGCTTCAAACCTTCATTTCCCCTACGTTTTGTATGTCTGAAGGACAACCTCGTTCCTGGGTTAAGCATATGACGTCATATGCTTCACGTTTGGGTAAAACCGCCAACCGATGTCACTTCGGCTCATTAATGGCGGATAGGAAAAAACCG